CAGAAGAATTTCGTCTTCCTCTGTAAGAGGCTATCGAGTCCTGTCATTCAAGACTCGTAGACTGCTGTACTCTTCACCTGGCAGCCAGCAGATGGTCTGCCAGAATACCTTGTTTGCCGTATGGAAATTCGACTCCAGCACCTCTGCGAATTATTTCAGGAATCAACATTGGCTGTTTGCACTGCTTTCGCTTCCGCCTTGTGTGCCTAGGCATATCGCACTCGAAGAGAATATTATTTGTTTCCGAGCCATTTCTTGAACGCTGCCTTCTTCTCCTTAACTACCAGTTGTAGCGTTGGTGTCCACCAGGAAGATCTTTTCTGATCTCCAGGCTGAAGGTGAACCTGTTTGAGTGCGCAACATTCGGTGGCAGCCTCGAGTAGGCCTCTCTTAAACAGCTGCCACTCGGTTTCAACATCAGTTGTCATCGCTGGGATCAGTTTAACTGTCGTGCGATGTTGTTTGCAAATTTCGCTCTCGTGTGCACCGAAGATAATGTTTCTCATTTGATTCTCCGGTTGCTTTTGCCACAAGATCTTCGTATGGTACTCCATTTCTTACAGCACAGCGTGCCAACAACAAGGTGATGATCGGTTGATAGCTCTGCGCCTCTTTAAACGCGAACATCCATTACTGAGTGTCTTAGGTCAGACGATACGATTAACAAATGGATCATCCACTTCTTTTCTCAAGTTTCCCGATACCAGGTGCACTGATGCACTCATCGATGCTCCAAGAAGGAGTTCGTAATGGACAATCCGTTGTTTGCGCAAAGCTGCAACAAGTTCATTTTGTTACTGTTAAGGTCGAGAGACGCCGTTTTTTGCAATGACGCGATTCCACTTTTCAACGTTTACTCCGACATGTGCATTAAAATCGCCTATGTGTATTAACTGTTACGTTTTCCCCAGTTCGGATATAGCACATTGTCCTTCTTCAAGGACGGTATCATATTCTTCCTCTACATTGGGCGTCTAGACTTGTACCAATGTCGACGCTTTAGCCTGCTGTTTCTTAAGTCGGAGGATTTTCACCCTTCCGCTGACAATCTTCCATCAGTGTTTGTGTTTGCGAGGTTGGGTTCTTCCAGAACGCCGACACCGGCCTGAGCGCGAGTCGTGCTATCGTCGTTGTGTATCAGGAGTCTAGAGCCTTGGCGTTTCGTTAACAAGGGTCCAGCAATGTCGAGTTGGTTCTTTATAGCCTGATCAACTAATTCTTGTTATTTCCCTCTCAGTGAGGGTACGTTCCAATTTCCGACATTATCTTCCACTGGTGATGCCATTCTTATTGACCCTTTTCTGACGTTCTATAATGGTACTGCGCTCTCCTCCGCTCAGATCGGGTAGCGACTCCTTTGCTGGCTGGAAACTTCTTCGTCGTTTCGTCGGTCTTCGTCAGCCGTTGTTGTGCAGCTACGCTCCCGGCTGGCAGATGGCGATGAGCAAGTTCTAATTGCCGACTTTTTGCAGTGTTCCTCTGGCCACCGACAGCCTGCGAAGCCCCTGGTAACCCGGCGACGATCGAGCCGGTATAATTTTCGATGGCGTCAATACCACGAGTGGCAGGTTGCTAAATTTTTCGGAGACTTTACTAGGGTGTGCAGTCCTCCTCCTTTCGCAACAGGGCTAGGGGCCGCCAGCGGCAGAGTTTATATGGAAACGTATAAATCATGCAATGCATAATAAAATTTAATTTCGCAATTCTTTCCACCTGCAACATTTTCTTACAAACAGTCATTGATTTTGCCGTGAAATTGTTTCAATATTGTTTTTCGTCTTCAAGCCTCACTCACGAAAGCCCTTTAAAAAAAGAACTAATCAGGAGTTTTCAAAAACATATTTTTGCAATGATACCTGTAGTTCAGTATGAAACTGCGTTATAAGCAAATTATAATGATCGACTTGAATAATTTAAAATTTCTGTTTTTATGCGTAATTTCATTCCAGCCTACGGATCAATCGTACCGTTCTTATCAATACGGTAATGAATTTGCTTCAAAGCTATTCTTCCGATTCTGACAAATATTCGGATGAAGAAATTGAATCTGTAAAGGCAAGTTCTGGCAGGAACTATTTTGAGACTGGTGATGATATCTCGAGCAGTGCGTCGGAGTCCGATTCGGATGCCGAGTGCAGGTGAGAATGAATTTTTTTCTGAAACCGATTATGTACCAAATTCTGCTGGTAAATTATTTTCCAATGTTTCAAGTTTCACTTTATAAAATAAAAGTCACGTTGAAAGTGTGCAGGTTTTGTAGTGATAGTGAATGTCACAAAAAGTGCTGCTGGAAGTTTTATTTTGCTGTAAGTAGGCTTTGCGTTTTCTCGAGTTCTTGTTTAAGCCATTTCATTTCTTATAATTTATACAAAGGGAGGTCGCATTTCGAGAGTTACGCTTCAGTGACGGTTTCTTCACCTTCCATTGTATTTTCGATGACTGAGTTATGGCAAGTCCGTTACCTCTCTCAGCTATTATTACAGCCTTGATGGCAGTCATGAGCTCCAAAGCTGCCGATAAGAATGACTGATTGCCTTAGGAGGTTGTTCAAATGACGGATTTCGGTTTATATCGGATTCTGATTATCTGCGCTACAGAAAGCATGATGAATGGGATATGTTGATCAGGAGGTACATTTTTTGGGTGAAAAAAAAGTAAGGGAAAGTTTGTCATCGTTGGAATGTCGTTCTTTCTTCACCTTCATGATTTGGCCATTTTCGCTCCCATAGTTACATGAAGTTGATGCTGATGTGTTGAGCTCCGTTTCTTTGTCGTCCGTTAGCCAGGAGTGCGTTAAAGCAGCGTTTAAAGCCACGTGGCAAGCGCAGTGTGCAGTCTCTTGTTTTCTTCCTACAGTGTGATATCTTTTATTAACGTCGGAAGGATGACTGGCGAGTGATTCCGACCGAGGCTTGAACTGGGGATTTAGCAGGTCTGGGTCAATACCCTACAGTCTGAGCAATATGTGGTAAGTTACTTACTGAAGAAAATTCATGAATGAGACAAAGATTACCCTCTGGCGAACTGGTACTCCGCCCCTCCGTTGTTCATAGCAGACAACTGTGATAACACGTCACATGCTTTTGTGTCTGTTTATCTCGAGGGGATAGATAGATTTTTTTCTTTATTCAAGCTGCCTTTGAAATAAGACGTAAAGTTTGTTAGCATAACGTACGATTTGGTCTTAGTGTAAATTTTTAAATTGGTTTATATAACACGTTTTACGCCTCGCCCTCTTTTTCACTTGTTCGGTATTAAATGGGCGAAGACGAATTTGATTCGTAAGCTCACGCGTAATGAAACATGGCTACACTCGTGTGGCAGGTATTGGTATGCCCACGTCAAAACACCGTTCTGTCCCCGTTAGTCACAATTCGGCGACTTATTACTTCATTAAAGCGTTTTATGGGAGGCTAGATTTGTATGCTGTCGTTCAGGTTGGTAATTGTTTCATACCGGTATAGAGTGAAGTCGAGTGGATTAATCCATGTCAACGTGTACTAAGGCTAGTTTGCTGTTTAGTGTGTATTGATGTGTGTGATTTTACTGTGTTGATTTTACTTGCTCTGAGTCTTAGCCTGCAGCAGAGTCACGTCGTGCACTTAAATATATAGGAAACATTGTGGTGATTTAGGTATGAGAACATGCGTAATAATAGCTCAGTAAAACCACAGTAATAACGGCTTAGATTCAACCTCGAATTAATTTTAGGTTTCATGCCAATATCGATGGCGTATCACTCTGGACAGTAATACAAATACTGCTGCAAATCTTTGGTGATTTTAATGCGAATCCCCGCCTACATTTTCATTATTTTACCATATTAATTGCTATAATGACTTCTGTTGAGTGATTCCGTTATTTTCTAGAGAGCCCGTAAATCGTCGTCTGCCGTCTGCACTGTCTGCGCTTTCGAAGACTTCTACTTCATCGATTTTCCATAGTTTGTACAAAGAAAAGGAAATGATCGTGACCCAAGTTTTGGAGCAGCATGTGAAACTTTCTGATCCCACATGTGACGACGATGGAAAGAAATTTAAAAGATCGGTTTCGAAAACTGTTCGGTGTAGAGCGTTTAAGAAGGGAATGTGCAAATTTGGTGACAAGTGCCGTTTTTCTCATATTTACCAAAGCAGCAAGCGGCTGCGACCAGAAACAATTGAAGGACAGCCAAAGCCGAAAATTTCAACTGTTGCATTCTTTGATTCAGCACCAATAATTTATGGCAGCAATGTGCACAGATAGGCTACAGGGAGTGCCGAGAAAGTAAAGTTAAAGAACAAGGAGCTGTTCGCCTTTAAAAATAATGCAGCCACAAATGAGGGTTCAGTTCCCGGAAAAAATCTAGATTTTAATTAGTGAATGCATTCGAAATCCATACCCTTTGTTGATTTCAAGACGTCTAACCGTTGAATAGAATTTACCTCATGTCGGGTTTCACGTTGGCATGGAACGTGGAAGCGAGTTATTCATCATTGCAATAGTTGGAGTTCAAGCGAACCGGCTAAT